ACTTGCAGATTCCAACATCATTATGACGTATATCTGAATATTCATGTAAACAAAAAAAATATTCTTATAAATGACTGCATGGGATTTCTTTTCGGTAGTACCGACCGTGCGAGACCCTCATGGTTAGTCAAGGTCGTAAAACACCCCCTAGTAGTAGTACGGTAATTTATCAGTATTTATAATTAATAGAAAGTTCAAACCATAATTAACATGTGAATTAATATTCAATTTGATGTGAATAAACTCATCATAGATACATTTTGTACCAGGATTGAAATTTTGTACGCCAGACGCGGGTTTCGTCTACAAAAACTCCTCAGTGACGCTCGAATAAAAAATAATAAAAAAGGCCAAAGAGAGTACGAAAATAAAGAGCATTGAGGATGTGAGCACACCTTCATGGAAAACTACATTAGCCAAAAACATTAACCTGATACGGGACGGACCAACAGACGAACGAACTGGCGTACAGATAAGAAAACATAATGCCCTTCTACTATCGTAGGCGTGGCATAAAAATTGTCTCAACAGCAATGTTGTACGCTGAATAACGCTTTGATAGTAAAATTCCTGGAAAATGTTGTCTGCATAAAGGGTATTTAGATTCATGACGATTGTAAGATCCTCCACTTGGTGTCGCCTCTTTCTCTGTGAAAGTACCAATTTGTGCTAAAATGTTCTTGAACAACAACTTCATGAATAAAGGGTATGCCAATATAACAGCAACTCGACTTCAGGTCAACAAACGTTCTTCAACAGTAGACAATTCACTACTTATGTCAACGTCAGAGAGAAATCACTCGAGGAAGCTGTAAATAAATTGAACGGATACTTTGACCAATATATGTCGTTTGAGTTGTTGTTTCGTTTGGTTTGTTGTCTCCCCAAATATATTCACTATCAACACTAATTTCTTTAAAGTAAAAACAATATAAACCACTAACAAGGTTCCTGACTTGAGACAAGTACATGGATATGTAGCGGCGATAAGCTACATGTATTAGTTACACATAATTGTAAGCAGTTTCCGTGAAATGTTGCACATAGATCTTATCTTAAGTATTTGAAGGAAGATGATAAACATGATCAATATATAAATGTAATTGTTAAGTGTTGCGACAAAATAACTCTATATTAATGCAGGTTGAAAACAACAAAAGAGCAGTATTCACATTTTTTCTTACGAGTTCACAACGGATTAGGCATTCTTAACCTTGTTTTGCATACTTAACTTCATTTATGAAACTGAAAGTGACAGATTAGTTCATATTTTGTTAAATATTGTTTGAAGACGATACTATCTACAACAGACAGATTCTTGTTATTGTTGTATTGTGTCAATTTTATGCAAAAATACGAGGCTCCAAGCTCTAGTTTCATGAGTCTCAAATATATACGAATGTGCAACTCGCCAATACGTCTATATGTCTCTAAACTTTATTTCCTAAAAGAAACTTTATTATCATTTTGAATGTGTAAACTATTATTACTGACGAACTTAGCTATAATCAAATAGGATTTCAGATTGAAAAAAACAAAACAATTAAAAAAGGTTTAAAAAATGCAAAGTACTGAAGTACTGAACATCGGATGACCGCAAGTTCTTGTGGATGGTCACAAGCACTTGTCTCAGAAAAAAATCACATCTCTATACCTGAAAGTGAAGTTTATGTACAGTACTACAGATATATATTTTTTTCTGAGACAAGTTCGTGCGTGGATGATGAATAAATGACAGGAAATTCAACCTCACCGTAATAACTATTATATTGTAGTGATACAAATCAGTATACTTTGGTTTGTTGTTTTTATTATATTAATATTAATATTTGTATATAACAGTTACATGTATATATAATTTTCATCCATTTGTATATCATTATATTCTACTATTCTAATAATAGTGCAGTGCAAGTGCATGGTGGACACTCTTCTGTAATAATGTGATTTTTCTAATAGATTGGATTTGAGTAGGCATTCATATTTTCCCGCAAAACATTCTTGAGATATTCTCCCGCATGCGTTAACACAATTTTTCTGTACGTGTGCATAGATATTAATGATTTTTTACTTATATATATATATGTATTGTTGCCACAGAGATTTCTACTTACGTAACTTTCGTTTTTGACTGGTAACCGATCTATAAATACGCGGACATTATGGAGTGCAAAATAACATTCCTTATCGCTTGTTATGAATTCATTTCTTCAATGAATACTCATAAATATATTTTTTTAGAACATAAATTAATAATATGAACATTTTTTGTGTATATATATATATATATATTTCTAACGACAAAAAATGTTCATATTATTAATTTATGTTCTAAAAAAATATATTTATGAGTATTCATTGAAGAAATGAATTCATAACAAGCGATAAGGAATGTTATTTTGCACTCCATAATGTCCGCGTATTTATAGATCGGTTACCAGTCAAAAACGAAAGTTACGTAAGTAGAAATCTCTGTGGCAACAATACATCGGAATGCCCTCACGGTCATCGCGATGTAAAAACTATAATCTGGCGGTACAAAAAAGTTCGGAAAGCCAAAAACACAAAAACGTGTTAGCGCACAAAACCAAATGGACGTAAGCAAGACTGTCTAAATGGTTTAAACTTTCACGTGGAGTTGAAATCTTAGTTTCAGTACCGTAGCATACTATATACATTGGCAATTTACAGACAAAGTGTTCCTATATTTTTGAAGCATTGTGCTAAGTTTATTCTGTAAAGTATTGAAAGTAATACAGAAACTCGATAAACTTTGTATCAATGGTAATGGGGTGGCTGATTGAGAATAAAGATACAATAGTATACGATTCTACGTTTGGGCAGTTTTCGATCAACATGGTCAAGGATTATAATTTATGCAAGATTTCCTGTAAAAAACACGCATATCTCAAATATTGAAAAACAAATGAATTCATCACATGCAGATGAAACTTTATTCTATTTTATTTTTCTGTTTTTTTCCTTTCTGATTTCATAACTTCATGACTACAAAATTACGCTATATTGGCAGATTAAACGCAAGACGTTTAAATGCCTACTGGAAATATGCAAGACAAAATACAAATACAGATGTATGACAGACGAATGTCTAGTGAATATCAAAAGCTTTGTTAAATTCCCTGTATTCCTTTCAAATTTTACCTTTTTAATGTGCAAATAAAAAGTTGCCTTATCATACCTTTTTTTTCATTATTACAATTACATATTTATCAACTTATTGAGATCCATATTGTCTTAAAAGTACGACAGATCGAACTTGACGGTAATTTATTTTCGACTTATAAGACTTGGCTGATGTTTTTATCCGTTTATTCTCTCATCAATAAATCTAATTACAGGCTAGAGATATTCTATTAAGATCTGCTCCGTTTGAGTTTGTTCTTTTACATCTTACCTGTAGCGTAAATACTACTGTTTACAAAATCATAAACATCGATCAGACTTAAATGTGCCTAGATCATGATATTTGTTTTTTTCCATTGAAAACTTTGAAAATATCAATAAATGTTCATAGCTAGCTATAGGAATAAATGTAGATTTATATTATATGACTTAACATTGCAATCTTTGGATTCAATGTAGATTAATGTGATACAGCACGGTAAGGTACGAGGCGATGCGACAAGTTACGGTACGTGACGATGCGGCACGGTACGGCTCGGGGCGATGCGATGGGATACGCTATGATATGATATTAATACGATACGATGCGATGCGATGCGATGCGATGCAATACGATAGGATATGATGCGATGTAATGTAACGGAATTGAATGGAATGGAATGCAATGGAATGCAATAACTTTATTATCAGTTAAAGACTCCCCAAACAATACAGTAATTATAATAATCCAATACAAGGACTATAATATATTATATATATATATATAAACAAGTCTAAATTGAAAACAACGTTCAAACCTATGATTGCGTTGGATAAAAACCGCAATTTTTATACATGTGCATGCAAAACAAATTTCTTGGTAGAGTGGTCTAAATACAGCACAAACAACATTTTCCAAAAGAACAAAAATAGTGAAAAAGTATATTTTAACAAAACGTATATATATATTTCTCTAATTCTTCGTCAATTTATCCCTTTCTGCACCCATTGTATAAAAAAAATTTAACCAACGTGTGGTTCGTTTGATCTCAGTTCTTCATTGGTTTAAATCCGATTATGACGTCGAATTTTCTTGCTCTCCTCTGAATTTTCTATTGTGACGGCATGAAAAAAGGCGACCATGCCTGATGACGTCACATAGAAAGAACACATCTTTTTGCAGATCATTCGAAAAGAAGGAATAAATTTGCCTGCGTATTGTTTGAAAATCATTAGAGAAACAGATTCCACCACCAAATCTCGTGTAATACGATATTTATCCACTCTCGACAGTTAAATTTTAAATATTTAAAACGCTCGGCGAGCCTCGCGTTTTAAATTTGAAAATTTAACTGTCTCGAGTGGATAAATATCGTATCACACTCGATGCAGTAGTAGAATCTATATATATACATGTCTAAATTGAAAACAACGTTCAAACCTATGATTGCGTTGGATAAAAACCGCAATTTTTATACGTGTGCATATATATATATATATATACATATATATATATATGATGTACAATAATTGCTTAATAAATACAATAGAATATGAAAGTATTAACATAGTTATAACGGTTGTTACTTCCTGAGACGTGGTAATTATAAATACTAACTATTTGTCCACCAAATTTGTTAAGAATTTTACTTTGAAAAACATCGAATTATTGTCCTTTGAAACAAACTTCCACAAAAATGCACAATGTTTTTATTCAACGACCAGGACAAAACAAAACATTTCTTTACAATTGAGGATAAATTAGTCGTGTCGCATATTGTTTATTCAAAGTTGATCGGTCTCGAATTCATTGTCGTAGGGATTCAATGATTTTAGTTATTTCTTCCTCGTTTAGTTCATACATCAACATCTACTTATAAAGGCCCTTAACTAGCAAGGAAATCTAATAAATTGTTAGTAAAAGTACTCTGATAATAAGGAAGTAAAACTGGTCTACCGAGAAAGTCTACTGTAGAAAGGTGAAGAAGGGTAAGACGTTAATTAAGTTTAATTAAATCACGCTCATCTGAAATGTTAATTTTATCTATCATGTCTCTCGTTATATCTTTCTTTATGTTTGGTGTAGAGCTTATGCTTGATCTACTTGGTTGATAATTGTCTGTGGTTATTATACCACATCTTATTTTGATATTATTTATAACGCATAGAGGCGGACTTAAGGGGGCGACCCCTCCCCTCATGGAGCTACATACATGGTTAATGCAAAAACTTTTCACAAGTCTCACTCCTAACGTTGCCTTGTACGTGTCCCCCTTATCAAAATCATGGATCCTCATCCAGAAGCTTCAGAATCTAATCGAATACCGTGACCAGATGTGAAATATAATTGAGCGAATACAACAATCAAAGGTTAACACAATTTAAGTGTATACAACCAAAGGTCGATGACACTTTACTACAACCACGAAGTAGTAAACACGATTTAATATATTTGAAATAGTACTCAACGAAAGTTGATAAGATAAGACCAACTTTCAACTGCATGAGATAATCCCAATGGCCAATACTGCGAATCATGCGCGTTTGTATCATGCATCTTCATGGAATATCTCTCGTGCACATGCCAGTGTATTAAATTGACCATGTAGATCTAGGTATAGGCCTTAATCTTCCCAACGGTTACATAATTTTCATTTTTGGTCGATATATGCACTAGGTTGATACCACAGCTGGTGGACTGTTATTCCCCGAGGGTATCTTCAACTCAGAAATTAGTGCTTCGGTACTGACATATGATTTTTAACAAACTTTACTTAAATCTCTGTTGATAAATTGATAAATTATTAATTAACGAAGGTTTCAACTCCCACAGGCAAAGTGATCCAAAGTGGATCGTAGGCTATTTTAGGTCCCCTTTGGTTATACATCTGTTCTAGTATTAAGGTAAGTTGAGTTTGACCGTTCTTGTGAAGGTAAATTCAGAAAAGCGCTTCAGAAGCACACACTCAATAAAGTGTTGTTTTCGTGGCTTGAAGGACTAGTACTAACTAACTCTGACATTTTTTTTATTTGTACTATAACTAGAGAAGTGATGACAATTAGTTTTAAAGAGATAGTAGCTACGATTTTGACAAAATCATAATAAATTCTATTTTGGAACGAATACATGTATTTCTGTCTCATCACTGTACTACATTAGTCTTGGGAGATAATATATTGACAGTATAATAGTCCCAGATCAGTTCCGCTCTCAAGACAAAATAAATCGAAATTATAGAAAAAAGTATGATTAGATTGAGCTGGCAGATGGTTCAAGTTCAACGGATGTAGTATGCTTTTTTTTATATCCTGCTGTGATTTGAATAGAACAAATTTACATGAAAAGTATCTGCCGGGTTCATCGGCGTTCGAATATGAAACGTCAGACGAAACACTGAGAAACTTAGTGACCCGAAATGTTCAAATGTATGACATATTCTCAAAGAAAAAATCTGCCGGTCAGTCTTCCCGGCGTTTTTGATAATAATATTGAAATTACTGCACGAGTCCTCCTCTCGCCACTATGATCCGCTTGTAAAGTTGATCGAGTATTTACTGTCCGTATTGATCGACCCGGCCTTGTCAATAAATTACGGAAAAATAGAAACTCCTTCAATAATCATTGAAAAAAAATTACATGGGAATATGGCATGGTATTGGTTGCAAAAATTTGATATTTTTCATTTAAATGCAATATTTTTCATTTAATTGGTATATTTTTTCATTTATATGCAATATTTTTTCATTTATATGCAATATTTTTTCATTTGTATGGTATATTTTTTCATTTAAATGGTATATTTTTTCATTTATATGCAATATTTTTTATTTTAATGGTATAATTTTTCATTTATATGGTATATTTTTTCATTCAAATGCAATATTTTTTATTCAAATGGTAAAATTTTTCATTCAAATGGTATAATTTTTCATTCAAATGGTATAATTTTTCATTCAAATGGTATAATTTTCATTCAAATGCAATAGTTTTTATTCAATTGGTATAAAATGTCATTTGAATGCAATATTTTTTATTCAATTGGTATAGTAGTTTTTTATTTATATGCAATAATTGCATTATGGGAAATTCTTTGACGTCATAAGGTCAAATTTGCAACAACGTTTGGGATTGGTCGGAAATTGTTTGGATGTCTCCCCTTTCTTTCTAAACATGGGTGACCAAGAATTAAAAAACGCGTCAGAATATCGCCCCTCTAACTAAATCTAACGTTCGTACGAGTCCTGCACTGGCTGTTAATGCCAATAATGGCCAGGACGAGCAAAAAATGCGAGTGACAAGTAATAATAATTAATTTGACACACAACTTGTTCATGGATAGCGCTGAAACAGATGCCTGCGTGCATGGCAAAACACCTCCAATGAAAACCTTTTCTGAAGAAACTCTCCTACAGTCTACACATTGAAATAAAAAAAAATACATAGCTAGCCCCCCTCCCCCTTCTAAGTCCAGATACATGTAATCATGACGTTCTTTAGTGCTATATCATTTTTTACTTTTCTTGATCCTCAGAGACGTTGCAGGAAGGCACATGAAAAAAGAATAAAAAGCATCCAGGACGTTACAATTATTTGGACTAAGCCCCCTCTTTTTAACTACATGTAGAAAAAAAATCACCTAATTACGACAGCAGAACTAGAAACCCACAAGTAGAGACATAAGCTGTTATACTCCGGAACTAATTCTTTAATAAAGACAATTCAGGATAAATCGGAACCAGTTACTAACCCATGTTACAACAATAGTCCTATGACATAGGACATCACTATATGAGGAGTGAACTTCATATTTAATACTATCTATGATATGTGCTCTCATGTCTTATGCTGCAAATCATTTTACATCTAGGATTCGTTGCTGAGCTTTTTTTTACTGTTCTTGCCTCCGAATCCCTTAAATAGATTTTTTTTCAAGCCCCACACTAGTTCAATAATTACTATATGTCTTTGCATAAATAAGTATGCAGGGCATATTTCAAAACATATTTTATCTTCAGGACTTTTAAATGATTTACTTTTCAATACTGCATTGGGAAGGGGGGTATACAAGTTTATTTTGTGACACATTATATAATATAATTAGGTATCCAGCAAATTATATGATTGTACGTTTAGCTATTATCTAGACCCGTACACAATGTATATAATTAGACACATTTAACAGGGGCGGATCCAACACCTCGGTGTCTAGAAAGGGGGGGGGAGTAGGTTCAAATTTAGATATTTGTATAGAGATGTATATATGCGAGTATTGGCAGTAATGGTTATGGTGTGTGTGTGTGAGGGTAGGGGTTTCAGATCAAAGATCGTTTCTATAATTCTATATCTTTTAGTTTTTACCATTTCACTCTCTTCTTTATCCTTTGATCTCTATTATATTTGTTCTAAACATGCGTGACATATTTGCCACTGGACATAAGGCAACCAAAAGTCAATCAACGTATTCTGTATATTTCATCATTTCTTTATTATGTTTTCTATAGGTTTGGTCCCGCCCCTTATCTATTTTTTTGCGCATTAGGGACGACATCAAAAGTTAAATGTAGGATAAAAAAAAAATAATTCATATAGTTTTTTTCACTGACCCCCTACCCCCCCTCTTAATTTAATTTCTTAATTTGGGAAAAATTGATTGACCAATAAGGATATATATAAAATCGATGTTAATTAAACAAAACTTGCAGCAATTTTGACCCCCCCCCCCCCCCCCCCCAACTATTTGAATTAAGTTTTTTATCCTTCATTGATTTTCTGATGTCGTCCCTTATCCTCTCTATGTAAACCCAATTCATGTCCTGATAAATGGTGACTCATGCATAGCATCATATGTGGTTATTAAAACAAGAAACATATTCATATTATAATAATTAATGTATGCTAGGACTTATAGATAGATGTCATTAGTCCCAGGTCATGTAATAAAGTAGGTCTTATAAAAATACAATAGCATTTTAATTTTGATGATTATATATATGTTTATATATTTAATAATGCCATTTTTTTGGAAAAAAAGGTAGGGGCAAGGCGTTTTTAAAACATATCAATGGGACGCGTTTTTTTTTTTGTTCTTCGGAAGTGAGCCAGAAGAAGTCCATTTCGGTTTTTTTTTGCATTGGGAAGATCTTCTGGCTCTCTTCCACCTCTTCTTTTTTGATAGGTTGACGGCAGAGGCACATAACAAACATGGCGTAGTTTAGTCTAAATGAAATTAATAAATTTATGAATGCAGATATATTAGAATGTGAGCTGTTTTATAAACGTTTTATGGTATGACAGCCTTAGTAGGACATTCCTGTAGGACGATAAGCTGGATAAATATAAGAACTACACGGACAATAACAGTTAAGGGACGATTATTTGATATTCTAGGGAAGGGATTTTGATTGATTGGTGTTTTACGCTACTTTCAACACTATTGGTCTATTCCGTGGTGGTCAGTTTAAATTTATAGATGAAGGATGGGGAAGGGGAGAGGGGGCATTATTATTCATTTCAATCTGTCGCTAATCATGCCTATTTTTCAGCTCTTATCAGGCAACCATATTCATATATGAAATCCTTCTGTCCCCCGACCCAACAAATAAATAAATATCAAATGGGTTTCCTCTAATTTAACACAAGTTTAAATTGATTGATTGTTTGTTGCTAATTTTAACGCCCAGTGAAAATTATTTCATGCTTGTTCAGGAAAACACGAGTTTAGAAGTCACGTATATAATATAAAAATGAAGAGATGGAATATGATTGCTAATAAGGCAACTATCCACCGGAGTTCAAATATGAAGTGGATGTAAGCAATTATAGATAAGATAAGATAAGAAAAATTTATTTTAATTCGGGTTACATGAAATACTACAAACATGAGCTCTGTAGAGCTTTTTGCCGTCATGTAGACAAATGATTTTTTGTAGACAATCGTAAGGCCTTCAACAATGACAAAAACCTGATACTGTAAAGTCGTCTATAAAAG